CCACTGGTTCCCCAATCCAAGATGAGGAAGCAATGGGTACAGCTTCAAAGACTTCCAGAATGCATCATATCTGACTGAGGACCCCAATTTGTCTCCCACTTCTGGCCCACATCCTTACAGCTGGTGGGAGTCTGGAACCACTACTCATCTGCCTACCATCTGCAGACCAATGGCCAAGCTGAAAGGACAAACAGAATCTTGGAGAAGTTCCTCCATTGCTACCTTAATTTTCAGCAGAATAGCTGGTCTTCCTTGCTGATGCTCACAGTTTGCATGCAACAGCTCTGAACAACTCCTTCACAAGGCAAAGTCCTTTGTTTGCAAACGATAAGGTCCAGCCCCAGTTTCATATGGCACTGCACATAGAATCCACTTACCCTTGGATTTTCAAGAAGGCTGACCAAGATGGCTGGTCAGGTCCTGCCTGTTCTGTTGCCCAACACCTTCATGAAAATTGGGCTACAGTTTCCTAGGACCCTTCTATATAGACCAACCCTGCAGATCAACCCTGTGGCATAAAAATTACAACTATCTGGAGCCTTACAAGTCCATCTAGTGTTTCATATATCCCTCTTAAAGCCAATACAGAGAATTTCTTCCCACGCTGGACCTGACCACCACCCACAAAGTCCTGTATGCGAGGTGGAGACTGGGGAAAGTCTGGTACCTCACTGACTGGGAGGGATGCAAGCCTGACTCTAGGTAGTTCTTGATTTCCTGGCTCTTGATTGCGTTTCCCTCAACCTCTTGGTTCACGACCTGGCTCACATCTGAACTCTGCTCGCCCACTCCAACTCTGGCTGCCTCTAACCCAGTAACCCACATTCCTGATCGGCCCCCAGATCTGGCTGCCCACGTCCTGGTCCTGACAGTAACAGCATGATAGGTCAACACCTCGCACATATTAGACCGAACTCCTTCTTAATGCAATTAATAACATTTAAAACCAGACTCTGAGAGGAGTTTTGACCTTTGCAATTAGTAACATCTGACTAATGGCAAGTCACTGATGTTTCACTGACCTTTCAAAGTCCATCCCCTAAAGAGAGAGCACGCTACAGGGACTTTTGGTGAGGTCAGTAGCCCATCCTTAGACTGCCATTAAAGTGTTCTTGCATGCTGACTTCACTAAGACTTTGAACAGTTTTTACAGAATTCAAAGTAATACTTGTACAGCAGGGTTTGGGTTTTTCTGCCCCAGGGGAGGCACACCTGGGCCAGGGGTTAGCGAGGAACTAGTTAGGGAGCTTCTAGAGGGGCTGGACGTATTCAAGTCAGCTGGTCCGGATGATCTCCACCCTAGAGTTCTAAAGGAACTGACTGAGGTCATTGCAAGTCCCCTGGCAAGGCTTTACGAGCACTCGTGGTGCTCTGGAGAGGTGCCGGAGGACTGGAAGAGGGCCAACGTGGTTCCCATCTTCAAAAAAGGGAGGAAGGAGGACCCGGGAAACTATAGGCCAGTTAGTCTTACCTCGATCCTAGGCAAGCTGTTCGAGAAAATTATTCTGGCACACATCCAGGAGGGGCCAGCAGGGGACTGCATGCTTAGGGGCAACCAACACGGGTTCATCAGTGGCAGGTCCTGTCAGACCAACCTGGTGGCCTTTTATGATCAGATCACCAGATCATTAGATGCAGGGGTAGCAGTGGACATAGTCTTCCTGGACTTCCGGAAGGCTTTTGACACTGTCTCTCACCCCGTTCTCATTAAGAAACTGGGGGGCTGTGGCGTAGACACCCACACAGTCAAATGGGTCGCCAACTGGCTGGAGGGCCACACCCAGAGGGTGGTAGTGGATGGGTCCTTCTCAACCTGGAAGGACGTGGGCAGTGGGGTTCCGCAGGGCTCGGTCCTCGGGCCTGCACTGTTCAACATCTTCATCAGTGATTTGGACGAGGGGGTAAAAAGCACCCTGTTCAAATTTGCTGATGACACTAAGATGTGGGGGGACGTGGGCACACTAGAAGGAAGCAACAGGCTACAATCTGACCTAGACAGGTTACAAGGGTGGGCGGATGAGAATAGGATGGGTTTCAACACAGACAAGTGCAAGGTGATGCACCTGGGGAGGAACAACCGGCACCATACCTACAGGTTGGGGAACTCCCCTCTTGTCAGCACGGAGGCGGAAAAGGATCTTGGAGTCATCATTGACTCCAAGATGAACATGGGCCGGCAGTGTGGGGAGGCAGTTAGGAAGGCCAACCGCACCTTGTCATGCATCCACAGATGCATCTCGAGCAGGTCCAAAGAGGTGATCCTCCCCCTCTATGTGGCACTGGTCAGGCCGCAGTTGGAGTACTGCGTCCAGTTCTGGGCGCCGCACTTCAAGAGGGACGTGGACAGCATGGAGAGGGTCCAGAGGAGGGCCACTCGCATGATCAGGGGACAGCAGGGCAGGCCCTATGAGGAGAGGCTACGGGACCTGAACCTGTTCAGCCTCCAAAAGAGAAGGCTGAGGGGGGATCTTGTGGCCTGTTATAAACTAGTCAGGGGGGATCAGCAGGCATTGGGGGAGTCACTGTTCCCCCGAGCACCGCCAGGAGTGACCAGGAATAACGGTCACAAGCTGGCAGAGGGTAGGTTTAGGTTAGATATCAGGAGGCGCTACTTCACGGTCAGGGCGGCTAGGATCTGGAACCAACTTCCAAGAGAAGTGGTGCAGGCTCCTACCCTGGGGGTTTTTAAGAGGAGGTTAGATGAACACCTTGCTGGGGTCGTTTGACCCCCATACTCTTTCCTGCCATGGCAGGGGGTCGGACTAGATGATCTGCTCAGGTCCCTTCCGACCCTAGAAACTATGAAATACAAATTGTATCTGATCTCAGAATAAACAAGATAGATGGAGGGGACATACCAGATACATGCAGTAACTGTTTCTTATGCTTAAGCCCAAATCAGAGGTGTTCTGAGGAAGAAAATCTCAGCAATAGGACTCCCAACATCACCCCATTACAACAGGGGACTGTTTGGGAGAGGGACACTCCTTTGCCCAGCAAAACACACTGAGGGGAGCCATATGGTTCGGAGCAGACACCAGGAACCACTCCTCCACAGCTCCAGGGGAATAAAGCTCAAGGGCAACCAGCACGGTTTCATCAGGGGCAGGTTATGTCAGACCAACCTGATTGCCTTTTATGATCAGGTTACAAAAGCCTTGGATGCAGGTGTCACTGTGGATGTAGTCTTTCTGGACTTCAGCAAGGCCTTTGACACCATCTCCCACCCCATCCTCATTAAAAAATTGGGTGCCTGTGGCATTGATGCCTACACAGTCAGATGGATTGCAGATTGGCTGAAGGGTCGTACTCAGAGGGTGGTGGTGAACAGGTCATATCTGACTTGGGGAGAAGTGGGCAGCGGAATCCCCCAGGGCTCGGTCCTTGTGCCCGCGCTGTTTAATTTCTTCATCAGTGATTTGGATGGATGGGGTGAAAAGCAACTTGTTCAAATTCGCTGATGATACCAAAATTTGGGGTGAGGTGAGCACGCTAGTAGGGAGGGAAAGGCTGCAGCCAGACCTGGATAGGTTACATGGGTGGACTAACAAAAACAGGATGCATTTCAATAGTGACAAGTGCAGGGTGCTGCACTTGGGCAGTAGTAACCAACAGCACACTTATAAGATGGGAAACTCCCTTCTTAAGAGCACGGAGGCAGAAAGGGATCTTGGAGTCATTATTGACTCCAAGATGAACATGGGCCGAC